AATGAAATAGTATTCAGACATGAGAAAGAAGAAATCCTACAATTCGCAAAAAAAAAAAAAAAAAATTGAAATGAACTTTGAAGGCATAATGCTAAATGAAATAGACAGAGAAAGACAAATAATATATCACTAATATGTGAAATCTAAAAAGGCCCACTTATATAGAGAGTAAAGTGGTAGTTATCAGTGGCTGGATGGAGGGGGTGGTGGAGAAATGCGGAGATGTTAGTCAAAGGGTACAAATTTCCAGTTATGAGTAAGTTCTGAAGATCTAATGTACATGGTGATTATAATTAATAATACTGTCTTATATACTTGAAAGATGCTAAGCAAATAAATCTTGTGATCTCACCACACAAAAAAAAATAGTAATTACATGACATGATGGAAGTGTTAGCCAACACTATGGTAATAATCATTTTGCAATAGATTAAGTGTATCACATCAACTGTACACCTTAAACTGTACAACTGTACACTGTACACCTTAAACTTACCTAATACATGCCAATTATATCTCAATAAAGCCAGAAACAAAAAGTTTATCCCTAAGGGGTTTTTTGATGCTTTTGTAAATGAGATTGTTTTCTTAATACCCTATTCAAACAGTTCAGTGTTAATGTATAGAAATGCAACTGATTTTTGAGTGATTTTGTATCCTGCAACTTTATTGAATTCATTGATTAGTTCTAGCAGTCTTAGTGGAGTCTTTAAGGTTTGCTATGTATAAGATCATGTCATCTGGAAACAGAGAAAATTTTACTTCTTTTCCTATTTAGATGCCTTTTACTTCTTTTCTTGCCTAATTTCTCTGGCTAAGACTTCCAGTATGATGTTGGAAAGAAGTGTGGGGAGTAAGTGCCCGTCATTTTCTGATCTTAGAGGAAAAGCTTTGTTTTCACCACTGAGTACATTAGCTGTGGGCTTGTCACATATGGACTTTATTACGTAGAGGTACATTCCTTTTATACCTAGTTTGTTGAGCATTTTTATCATAAAAGGGTATTGAATTTTGTCAAATGCTTTTTCTGTATCTGAAATGATTACATTATTGTCATCCTTTGTTGATAACATAGAGTATCATATTGATTTATTTTAGTATACTGAACCATCCTTGCATCCTAGGGATAAATCCCACTTGATCATTGTGTGTGATCCTCTTAATGTGCTGTTGGATTTGGTTTGCTAGTATTTCACTAAAAATTTTTACATCTACATTCAACAGGAATACTGGACTATAGTTTTCTTTTCTTGTAGTGTCTTTGTCTTTGGTACCAGAGTAATGCTAGCCTCATAAAATGAATTTGGAAGTGTTCCCTCCTCTTCAGTTTTTTGGAAGAGTCTGAGAAGGATTGGTGTTAATTCTCTTTAAACATTTGGTAGAATTCACCTGTGAAATTATCTGGTCCTAGACTTGTGTTTGTTGGGAGGTTTGTGATTACTGATTCAATCTCATTTGTTTCCAGTCTGTTCTGATTTTCTATTTCTTCATGACTTAGTCTTGGTAGGTTGTATGTTTCTAAGAATTTCTCATAGCTTATTCAATTTGTTGGCATATTATTATTTATATCTCGTCTCTTATGATCATTTTGTTTCTGTGGCATCAGTTGTAATGCCTTCTCTTTCATTTCTAATTTATCTATTTGAATCTTTTTTTCTTCACTAGTCTAGCTAAAGGTCTGTCAATTTTATCTTTTAAAAATCACCAACTCTTAGTTTCACTGATTTTTTTCTATTGTTTTTCTAGTCAGTTTCATTTATTTTTGCCCTAATCTTTATTATATCTTTCCTTCTGCTGACTCATATATAGAAATTAAATAAAACATTCCTGAGCTACCAATGGGTCAAAGAAGAAATCAAAAGGGAAATCAGAAATTATCTAGAGAGAAATGAAAATCCAACATACCAAAACTTACAGGATGTAGCAAAAGCAGTAGTAAGAGGGAAGTTTATAGCAGTAAATGCCTATGTTTAAAAGGAAGAAAGTTCTCAAATAAATGATCCAACTTTACACTTCAAGGAAATAGGTAAAAAAAAAAAAGAACGAACTACGAACTTTCTGGTTTCTGAGTATGTGTTCATTAGCACTCTTTGATGTTCCTGGTTTTGCATGTTCTATTCCCATTTTCTAGGTTAGCACTGTCCAAAAGAAATATAATGTAAGCTACAAATGCAAATTATATAGGTAATTTAAAATTTTTGAGTAGTCATAGTCACAAAGAAATATATGAATTTTACTATATTTTTAACCAAATATATCTGAAATATTACCATTTCAACATGTAATCAATATTTTAAAACTATTAATAAGCTATTTTACATTTTTTCTGTACTGTCTTTCAACCCAATGTGTTTTTTACACTTAATGTCACAACTCAATTTGGTTACTCATCACCCTACACAAAGCTATAATTCATTTATTCATAAGATACTGGTTCATCTTCAGGTGCAATCATGAGATTTCTCTAGTTTTCCTGTCCTGAATTCCAACTTTGTCCTCTGTTCCTTTCACATCACCATTCCAATAGCACACATCTCCCACGTGGTGAAGTCAGGGAAGAGGAAGGGTGGGGGGCTGTTCTGAAGTCATCTCGGTGTGAAAAATCTCATTTCATCTAAAACTATCCTTAAAATATCTTAATTAGGCCCCCCACAAGAAAAACAGTACATATGACCTTGTGTTACTTGGCCCTGTAAAGGTCCATAAGAACTGAGACTAACCTTGAGAATAATGTGTTCACATATTCCATCTCCTATCTATGTCACTTCGAAAGCTCATTTCAGTACAATGGCAAGTGGATTTGCTATTGCTTTTGGAACCCCTCCAAATAACAATGGAATTCTTATAACTTAAACACAAATATGATGTAACTCTTGTTTATTATTATTCCTGCCTCCTCCATTTATCATGCTAAACCCTCTACCGCAAATGTTCTGTTCTTTTTGTTACAAAAGTTTTAACTATTCTGTCACTTAATAACTTAGATATCCACTACATCAGGCTGGAAGGGAGCACATAGAGTAAAAACAGCATAAGTTTCAGATTCTAGTTTCATTATCATCTATGACACTTTCAGCAACCTTTTGAATAAGAATATTGTCTATGTGCAGTTCTCATAGTTTGTGAAGAGTCAATGAGGAATTAAACTTAAGAGTACAGAACAGTGTTAATTCTATTCCCTTTACCAACTTCCTCCATTAAAATTTTGTAAACCTCTCCTTTGAGACACCGATTATTTTTTAACTAATGAGGAAAATCAGTATTTTTAGGTCACGTTATGAATAAGTTCTCAATTAAAAATAAATATGCCAGGAAAAAGTGTCAAATCAAAATTAACACATACATTCTCATTACCTGCACAAATTTGGGTGGAAATTTTTGTCTGAGGTCTAGGAGTAAAGCATCCACACGTTGCCTCTGGAAAATAGAGCTTGGTTCTTCTTTCCTTTTAGTTTTAGGTTTGACTTTATCTATTAAAACATAAAGTCCAAATCAAAACACTGCCTAGTTTGGTATATTATGTTTTATAAATCTTTGTCCACCATGAATATACTCAAACTTCATTATTTTTAATGGCTGCTAGTTCAAAGATAATCTCCCAAATAAGTTAAACACAGTATACACACAGAAGTGTTCTAATGCTCCCCCTTAAGTAAAGTTAATATTCTAACATTTAAAAAGCCGATGTCTTTTAAAGATACTTTATTTTTAGTACGTAAACATGGACAAAAGAATTTTAAAGCTAAAGTATTCCGAAATCACAATCTACACTATTTGTTTGAAATTATATTGTGTATATTTTAAGTGAATTAAATGGTCTTTTCCCACAAAACCTAGTAGGTCCAAATGGAAAAGGCAACTTTCACAAACTCAAGTTATCATTCTCAATTATGAAGACTATAATTCACTGAAAAGCAGGACAAACCAAACAATAGAAAATCATCAAGACAAAAAATAATTTACAAGAGAAATTCTGAAATTAATGACGTGGAATTTTCCCTGGGAGGGGAGATATTCGGGAACTATCTCTAAATTTTAGAAGGGTTCCAGATAAGTCTGGAACATTTCATTGGGGTAGGGGCAAAGAGCTCTCAGAAGTTTATTTAACTGATGGAAACTTTCCTACATCAAATGTTGCAGCCTGCACCTACTATTAAGAGTAAACATAACTGTATCCAAGAGACTGTTCATTCCACAGCTCTGATTTCTATTTAAAGGCTGTTTTTCCATCAATAATTTATCCTGAGTTGCTATTTCCAAGAAAAAATACAGACTATAGGTATACTGCTATACACATTTCTAGAAGTACTCTTATTGGTAAAATATGGTGTAGAACACGCAGCTGATTAGCAATTGTGGAAACTAGAGAACCTGGCATCACAACACGTGATAACACAGAAAGGTCAGAAAACAGACTGGTAATTTGGAGATAAGGCCCTAAGAGCATCTCCCCTACTTGCAAGACTGGGAGAATTCAGGTTCCAAGATGACTCGACAGTTAACTGAGCAAGAAATATCATTATTACTCCTTCCACATCACTGATTTTCTCCGTATGTTCCAAATAGGTAAAAACCTTGAATCCAATTATTAAAGATTACCACTTACCTAACAGATTAAAATTTGTAACTGTTCCTATGGAAAAGCTATTATTACCACATCTAGTTATATGAATCGTAGCTGTGACACTATCATCATCCTATGAAGAATCTTCCTAAGTAAAACACACCTAGAAATCATCAATAGTTATTTTCCTAAAGAAAAGAGCTTCATTCTCGGAGCACCAAAAAGTGTTTCAGGCGGATCTAGGTGTCCAACCTACCTTGCTCTTCATGATCTTTAAAGTGCCACCAATACCCTTTGGAAGGATGATATCGACAGTATGACATAGCTTCATCAAAAGCTGACTGAATGCCATGCACCGCAGTAAGCTTGTAAAAAAAAAAATGAATTCTGAATTTTTCATTAGATCAACCAAAATTTCCAAAGTAAAAACAAAAAAATTACATTTCCAAAGAAAGTAATTTCCTGCTTTTCAGAACCTGAATCTCTATATAGCTGGGGCTGTGGTATATATACTTTTAATATGGAGTTAGCCCACAGTAACCAATGCTCAAAACATTCTAATATTCAACACTTCATACCAACTTACACAAGAGAAAGGAGCTCCTGTTTGATTCTCAGAAGCCAGATAGCTCAATGGGAAGTTTTCTTTAATGTTTAAAGAATGTGAGGACACTTACCACTCTAGAGTTTATAACTGATCCCAAGTCTGGTGCCTGATAGATCACTCCAGCAATGATATAGTAATCAGCCAGTGGGATAACTAAAGCAATGGAGGGAAAAACATTTATGAATATAGCTATGTACACAGACCACTAAATCGATTTCCATTAAAAGAACAACTAAAAATTGACATTTTCCCTTTTTAAAGCTTAAGACAGGATCTGGCAATTCGTTTTTGTAAATAACGTTATATTAAAAAACAGCCATACCCATTCACTCACATTATTATCTAAGGCTACTATGTCACTATTTAAGTAGTTGTCAGAGACTATGAGGCCCATAAAGCCTAAAATATTTACTCTCCGGACCATCACAGAAAGTTTGCCAATTTTTGCCCTAGAGCACTGTTTCTCAAACTTTAACCCACTTTCCCATTTGGGAAAAAAAAGTGCTCACTGCCAGCATTAATTTAATTTTACATAAACATGCTCTTTGAGGCTGAAGCAAATCTGACTGGTTTTCAATGTGAAAATAAAATATAAAAACTGTTCTTAGAGTTATTTCTAAAAAGAACTTGTCTCTAATCCTAACGTAACAGAAATGTATATGATAATCAGTATTTAATGTGCACCTGAGTATCTTCTTAAAATTGGATTCCTACTTAGTAGGGATAGCGCATTTCTAACATTGGTTCCCAAATGATCCAATGCTGTTGTCAGTCAATCACACTTTAGAGCAAGAGAGATTTAGGGCTCAGGGTGAAGATATCAAATGTGCTAAACTTGCCTCTGTGCACCCCCAGTCCTGGGTCCTAAGGAATAAAATGGCTGCTGGTCTTGCCTTTGTTCTGAGGTTATCTTTTTCTTTGGGCAGAGACTCTAGAGCTTTGATTTTGAAACTAAATTGAAATTCTTGATTCTAAAACTACAGCTTCTTTAACAAGCGGTTCTCTGGAATCAATACCACAGTGAAAGTTGTTACTAAATGTCTTAATGAGAGTATTTAATTAGATAATATATAGTTGGTCATCTCTGGAAATAGGTGACTAACACTGATTCAAAATCAAACTAAATTCTATACTCTTCAGTGTGACTTCTAAACCAAGTTTTCGTTTGGCAATATAACCCAGGTGAGACATTTGGTTGAATGTGTCTATGAGGATTTTTAACTGACCCTCTGAGTTTGATACAATTGAATCTACCATAAATTTTGCAACAGAATTAGACTCAGTGGACTAAGATGAGAAGAAAGGTTACTTGAGATGCTTGAGGTTCAGCTGGAATCCCAACAACTGTGCTCACAGGAAGCATTGGTTTCAATATAGCAAATTCCAATGTTAGTGCTTGCAGAGTCGTCCTTGGGAGTGTTGGAAGACTCCTGATGTCCAAGTATGTGACTTGTAACACCTGGCTTTTGAAATGCTTCCTAAGTGATAACGCAATGCCTACTGTACCAGTCTGCCTAGACAATTTTCACAAACAAAGGCTATAATGGAAATCTAATTTCCTTCTAAGAGTCTGGAATGTTAGCAGGCAGAGGATGTCTACATGGTTAGCCCTCAATAAAAATTCTGGACTCAGTCTCATATGGACAGACATATTATATACATGGTGCTGCATTTCACTGCTGGAGGATGTAGTTGGTATGGCCCCTTGCAGGAGGGAAAGTATAAGATTACACATGGATTCCTACAGATCGCACGTGATATGGCCTTTTACCTTATTGATCTGGCTGTGTATCCTTAGAGTTACCATAACAAATCTTAGGCATGACTAACTATATGTGGAGTCTGCTGAGACCTCCTAATAAAGCACTGAACATGTATGTTGTCTTGGGGATCCCCAAAACAGAACCCAATCCAAAGGAGAAAAAATAAAGAAGAACATATAGCTAAGAACGCATATAAATCATGGTATTCTAAGAAGAAAATACCGCTTGAAGTTTACACATTTTACCTTGGGTAGGGGACTGCCGCTGTTGCTTCCGAATGATGAAAAGAATGGGCTCTTGAGCATGTAAAAGGATATATTCCACTCCAACCATCTGACTGAAAACAAACACAGACATCCAGAGATCTATGAGAACCCTATAAACAATTCGGTAGAACATTCAAATTGTTGCATAAATGTATAACAACATTGTAAGTAAGATTAAAACTGCCTGTGTTTGATATTAAAAACTGGCTGTTTAACTGGCTACTTTCCCAAATAGGTGGACTACAGGTAAAGATTTGGTTTTTAAACAACAAAATTTCTTTACAAAAATTCATGAATTCATAACAAAAAGTACACTAAAGAGCATGTTTCAAAAAAGGCAACCAAAATACCATGATGCTTCCTGACCAAGAAGATTTTGAAATATATGTAAAATATAAAAATATTTTATGAAGATTATACATGTCTTGATTATGTCAATTATATACTCTATCCAACTAGAAAACATCGAAAACTTTATCCCTGCCCCAACACATTTTTGATCTGACGAATTATGTTTAAAAGCAACAATAAGTTGTCTTAATAGTTATATTTGTCTCATTAAAAAACAGCAACTTAAAATACCACATAAATTTAATTACGTGAATTCCCTGTGATGTTTAGCTGACAGATAAACATCACAGTTGTTCCAGAAACTTTTTAACAGTAATAAATTCCTATTTAGCATCCTAAGTCTGAAGAATCTTGCTTTGCATTTGTTTGGCTAAAATTTTATTTTCTTTATTTTTCATACAAGGATAAATCTACTATAAACCAGACTATGGTTTAAGATATTAAATTAGATGTAGAGGAGACAGTAAATATAATTCCCTAGTTGAGAATAACAGTTGCATTGCTAAACCACAGAGCTATATTTTAATTGGACAGTAATATATGAAGTTATACAGAAAAGGCTTCCTAGGTAACAAGTGACTAATAATTATTCCTTTGCATGTCAAATATGTTACAAATCCAAACAAAACTTCAGTTCTTCCAAAACTTCTATTCTGTACTTCACAATCCACAGCTTGAAAGAATCGTTTTTGCAAAATCTCTAGCTGGAAAAGACGCTACTTTCTTACAATAACTTACTTTAAGTGTTCTAATGTTAGCCTCTGCATTTTGACCACTTCATTATTACATGTCCTGTCGTAAAAAGGATTACTCCTTTCTGAAAAGTAATCCAGGACACTTCCACTGTTCAAAATGGGGATCCAAGAACTGTCAACCCAAGAGATTCCTAGCAGATTATCTATAGGAAACAACACAAAATGATAAAGGATTAGAAAAGAGAAAAAAAATCAACAAACATTTATTATTTATCTAATGTTGTAGGTACTATGAAAAAAATGATGACATGGATCCTAAACTACATACTTACAGTCTAACAGAATAGATAAGTACACAAGAAAGCAATGACAACTCAACAAGTACTATAATAAAGGTATAAAATAAATGTGTCATGAGAGCACAGTGGAGGGAGCAGAATACCTTACTTGAGGGAACTGGAATAATTTTTTTCCTGGGGTGAGGAGGAAGTGGGTTTTAGCACTACATGTTAAAGAATAAAGGCGTAAAGTAATTCTAAACAGAGAGAATGCATATACGAAGCTAGGAAAATTTAGAAGTATATTTATTATATGTTCGGAGAATAATTTGATTAGATGGAGAAGTGATAGGATTTGAACTCTAGAGAGGTCTTTCAAAAAATCGAAAATCCTGAGTCCTTATATGTTGGCAACTAATTCAAATATTTTCAAACATACATGTCAAAGAAAACACATCCACAGGCACCAGTTTGAGACCTCCAAATTAGGGACAGAAAAATAAATTAGGAAGCTATTATTATAGATGACATAATAATGATGAAAAAGTTAAGGGGCAAATGTGAAGTAGAATGCCCTTAATAACAATTTCATATTTTAGAGATTAAATCTTAAATTTTTCAAAATGCAAAAAAGAAAAAAATAGACATGGTAAATAGAGTTAGATACCTTTAATTACTGAGCTTTCGTTGGTTACTGGCTGCAATGATGTTTCATACCTCCAACTGTACTAAATACCACTAGGTGTGAGTCATAAACATCAAAATGACTATATAACATTAGTTGAAAGAAGAAGAATTAAAACTTCAACCTCTCCTATATTGTAATTGCTTCTGGCATCTTAGAAAAAGTTAGACCTAATCCAAGGTGGCAAGCAATTCCGAGCAGAATGAATCAAATGAGAAAAAATAATTGTATAAAGGTAAAATGTGCTGTGTGCATTATAAAAGAGGAAACAAATAAATGAAGTAGGTTAATGACCAAATAATCAGTACAGATCATTAAGATGGTTCATCATAAACGGATCATGCCATAAACAAATATGTAACAGGCCAGGAAATAACAGTTTTAGAAAAAGACAGATTTTCTCATAAAAAGAAACTAAAGATAGTCATTATTCTCAACTTGAAACACTACAATCCAGTTATTAAAGTAGTTTGTTTAAAGCAACTTTGTTACACATGTCTTTACTTTCTTAGGAATGATTATTTTAGGCTTGTTTCTCACTTACATAGTTGAAGGTATATGTATATGTGGTTTTATAATAAGCTATTGACAATAAACTGTTATATTGCAGATCATTTCCCCAGAGAGAGGAGTAATTTGCACAAACAAATAAATGATTAAGTATAGATCCTACCTGCCAACAATTATGGATATTCAGTAGGTATGGGCATGAGGTGATGAGGACTTGGTGTAAGGTAATGACAATGCATAGGAAGATAAAGAACAAGTCACCAATTATCTCTGACCTCATCTCCTTCCTGCCTCCTCTAATGCTTCAGCTGTACCCACCTGCTCGCTGTTCCTCTATACATCAGACACACTCCCACCCTAGAGCCTTGGCAATGACTCTAACGAATCTAAATAAAAAGCAAAACATCATGAAAGCTGAATATTTGAAACCAGCCCAATGAACTTAATGTTTCTTTTTCATTCAGTAGCAAAGGAGCATATTGACATAACTCAAATGCAGCTAACCATAAGCAAGTGATGAAATTAGGCACTTGAAACTCTAAAAAGATAAACATGTAAAAACATTATCCAGATATGCTGAAGATCACTGGACATTTTGAGTTAATTACAAATGAGGATATAGTTGTAATAAGTGTGCTAGACTCCACTTTGGTTAATATAGAGAAAGGAATCTCAAAACACCTCGCTTTAAAAATTAAGTATGTATCTTGTAAGCTACGCAGGGTCGAGCCTGGTTAGTACTTGGATGGGAGACCACCTAGGAAATCCAGGTGCTGTAGGTGTAAAAAAAAAAAAAAATCAAGTATATACAAACAAAACCACCCCTCGTAGAAATGATTAGGAGCATATTATAGTTAAAAAAATTTTGAGGCGAGCCCTTTTCCTTTAAACTGCTGGGGGTGAGAGGGGTAAATCTCAGTTTGCTACTGGGTACAAAAATTCACACTTCCTTTAAGAAAAAGTACCACAAAGTTTCAAGTGTAAATAAATCTACCTCGAGAGTTTCATACAAGTGTAGGAAGTTTTGTGGAGACGACAGTAAAAGGTAGATACACGCGGGCGCTCTCAATCCAATGAATTTTTCCTAGGAACTTCCTACCTCCTCCCAAACTGGAGGAACCTGGTGTGTTTAGGTTCTCACGCTTCAGCTACTTTTTAATCGCTCTTCCATTCATTCATTGGACTCCCAGAGCACAATTCCTAGGGGTTTTTTTCTTTTCAAATTCGCTGAAACGGATATGTGCACTTGTGCTGAGAAAAGAATGTGTGGCCTAATGCTGCCCGAGATCAAGTAGAAATAAAGGGAATGCCTCCCCACGTATTTATTCGCTTGACTCAACAAATATTTGAGTACATTTACAGTTCAGCTGTGAAAAAGAAAGGACCCCTGCCCTCAGTAATTGTTGCATGTTCGATGGAAGAAATTATAGACTCAAAAACAAAATTAACATTAGAAAATCTCAGGGATTCATACCTAGGAACGCACAAGGCGCAATGTCAAAAATAAGCCAGCCTCCACGCCAAGTCTCAAGAAATGAACAAAATCATCTTGCTTCATTCCCCCTCCATGAAGAAATATGTGTGTAAAACAACACTGCAGTTTAAGGGCTCAAAGCCCTGAGCTTTTTCCAAACCTTTCGTTTCGACGCTTCTAAGAGATTCCTAAGGAACTGGGGAAAACTATGCAACTCTTCGCCAGATGAAAGCCTTGGGTCGTCCACAGAAACCGTAACAGGCTGGGAGACACCGCAAAGGAACCTGAACCTTGCTCCCGCGAGCTATAAAGCCCCAAATCAGACCCTAGAAAATGAGGAAACAAAGGCTAACAGCACAGATTACCTCGAATGTCCACGGCGGCCATAATTCCAAAAGCGCGCACGGGTTCTCCTTCCGGCGCAGAGAAAACGTAAGTACTACGACAACGGAAGCAGCGGGTTGCAGCCCCTAGGGACTTGGAGGAGAAACGCAGAGAGGGAGGAGACTGCGAGGCCAGGAAGATACGGCAGGGAAAGGGAGGAGGCAGGGAGCGCAAGGGGGGCGGGGGCGCG